TCTTTGGTATGCAAAGAAAATGGTAGTAATAATTCTTAGAAAAAGAGTATTTCCAAATAAAGCAGGAATAAGTGGCCTTTCAAGGGGCTGGTGCTATCAACTAATTTATACTATATCACAGAATCCATCTATCTATTTTAAACAATTCAAATATAAAAAACTTTTAATAAATTATACATGGTTGAAATCTGGGGAAATTGTGATGATCCTGCAAGATTTCAGCCAGCCAGCCAGTAAGTAAAATATTATGATAAAAAGTGAGTGTTAGAGGTACTCCTCAACTTACAATCACAACTGAGCCCAAAATTTCCGGTGCTATGAAGTGAGGAAGTTTTATGTGAGTTGCACCTTATTTTTGCACTATTTTTGCCAGTTGTTACGCAAATCACTGCAGTTGTTAAGTGAACTATGTGGTCATTAGACAAATCTTAATAAGTGGCCATTACGCAAATGGCTTCTCCCATGGACTTTGCTTATCGGAAGCCGCCTGGGGATGTTACAAACGGTGACCACATGACCCTGGGACACGGCAACTGTCATGAGTACATGCCAGTTGCCAAGCGCCTGCATTTTTATCACGTGACCAGGGGGTTGCTGCAATGGTCATACGTGTGAAAACTGATCATGTTACTTTTTTCAATATTATTGTAACTTATGAAGGATTGTAAGTCAATTACCTGTATTGCAAAGCCTCGTATATAAATATATCTTTAGACGCTTTATAGACACTTAATACCCACTGAGTATGAAGGCTGAAGCTGCATGCTGCCCCATATTTGACTTTCTTCTTTTCATGATTTAAGGAGCACAACATTTGTAAATAAGCCCATTGCAGAAATAGAAAATCTGTTCTTAAGTGATGGCACAGAGAATACCAATTCAAGTAAAATAGATACTTCACACCAACTCTACCTTCTCGGTGCGTAAAAATCTCCCGGAGTTGTTTGTTAAGAAAAGATAAGGTGAGGTTCAACAGCTGCTCAGAGAAATTCTTGCTCTGGGTTTCCACGTCATTTTCTTGAATTGCCTTACAAAGCAAATCCAGGGCTGGCCTCAGTTCTTCAACACCTGCAGAAGAAAAGGGTTAAACCAAGAAAAATGGGAATATCACATGAAGAAACGCACAAGTTTGCATTTGTCTTCAAAGTGATGTATGCAATTCATTCCATTAAGCGTTCTGAAAACCCCTGGACCTCTCGTTCGCAGGTATCTGCCCTGACCCACTCTCTCTGCCTTCAATGCCGTTTACTTTGCATTCAGTCAAGTGACGCTTCTTTTGGGTTTATGCTGCAATTTGAAGAATGTCAGTGTGAATATTCATAGTTTACTTACTCTTCAAGTAAAAATCTGACGTAGTATTTGCAGGCTGATCTTGTACAGAGCTTGCCGCAGACAGATTGAAGAGGTTCTCTTTATTCTTTAGGAAAAAATCCACGGTGTCCAACTGTCGGTTCTCTAAGCCAGCCTAAATATAAAAAATATATATTTTTATATTATATTTATACAATTCTCTGATCTCTCTTCATTAAC